GCGCATCTCCAAATTTTATCATGTAATTTTTGGTGTAAAACATGGTTTTTTGGATGGGTTTTTGAGGTGCATATTTATTTCTACATTTTAACGTTGCAACCTTATATAAACTTTTTCCACACACACACACACACACACACACACATATATATATAAAATAGCTTATGGGTCTAAATGGAGACCTACGGCTCAAACAAGAATGTACCACACTAGGCCTACTCATGTAGACATCCAATTCGAAGAAGATCTAATATCCCATACAATATCCTTCTGGAAGAATCATTGTCAATTGGAATATAGATGGAATGTCAGATAATCAAATATTAGATACAATGAAACATATGACTATGTATGCCATAACATGCAAAGTGTCAGGAAGTCATGACCAAGATGTTGCCAAAGCCATCATCTGTGGCTTCATAGGTTGGTTGCGAGGATGGTGGGATTTTCATATGAATGAAACCATCAAAAACCAAATTCTTCATACTACTCGCAAATGGGTATTAAAAAATGAACATAACCAAGATGTGCCTCATAGCGAAAGTGATGTTGTCAATACATTAATATATACTATAACCTTTCATTTTGTGGGGAATACATCCCTATTAGAAGCTAGATCTGAAGATCTACTCTCAAATCTAAGATGCCCCACTCTTTCTCATGATAATGGTATAAAGATGTCTTCTTCTCAAGACTTTTATTAAGAGAAGACAGTAGTGCAGACCATTAGAAGAAAAAATTTATTGTAGGCCGGCCTTACCTTTTTGCTGAAAAGGTTAAAAATAGACTAAAAAATAAAAATAATGGCATCATTCTATACTCTCAATATACTTTAGGTGAACTTTCTGTCGAAATCTGTGCAGAAGGGCTAGCATTATGTACAGACTTAAAGCTTTGAAAACAATTGGACAAATAGAGAATGACAGGAAAGAAAGAATTAGGTGATTTATGTGAGCAATTTGGATATAATATAAACCCCTCTTCTAGTAAAGAATTCAAGAGAAAACATACATATAAGAAAACTAAGATAATAAAAAGAGAAAAACAAAGAGAAAAGTTTACAAAGAAATTTGTGCCAAAAGCCAAATTTAAATCAAGAAAACGGAAATTGCTAGTCTGTTAAAAGTGTGGCAAAATAGGTTATTATAAAAATAATTGCAGAGTAAAAAAGAAAATTAATGCTCTCACACTTGATAAAGAAATGAAAACCCAACTCTACAATATTATCCAAATAGAAGATGAATCAGATAGTGAATCCTTGAACACTGATTATGACTCATTAGTAGGAAGAATTGAAGATGAAAACTTAATATGGAGTAGTTCCGATTTAGAAAAAGATTCAGTTGATGAAATACAAAAATGTTTCTGTAATGTGCTCACTAAAGAAGAAAATTTAATTTTAGATCTAATAGATAGAATTATAGATCCTAATGAAAAAAGAGAAGCTATTACCCAATATGTGCAAATTGCTAAAAACAAAAATAAAACCCCACAATTAATAAAACCTCAAGATGAATATAATCTTTTTGAAATACTTAAAAGAATAAATAAAAGGGAAGCAATACAAAAAGAACCTACTATAGCTGAATTGAAACATGAACTAAATGAAGTAAAGATTGAAATTCAACAATTAAAAAATAGAATTCGTATATTAGAAATGGCAACAAATTTTTCTGAAACTGAATCAAATGAAGAAATAGAATTTAATGATTTAATAAATTCTAACCAAGATATTTTATTAAGAGAAAAACTTGAATCCTCTAAAATAAAGTCTGAAATACAAGAAGACCATTTAAATATTATTGATAAAGTAATAAATAAAAAATGGTATACCTTAATTCGAATAGTAGTAAAAGAGGAATATAATTTTCAATCTTTAGCATTAATAGACTCTGGAGCTGATTTAAATTGTATCAATGAAGGCTTAATACCTACAAAATACTTTGATAAGACCACCCAAATTCTAAATACTACAGACGGTAGTAAACTTATAATAAATTATAAATTGTCTAATGCAGCTGTTTGTAATAATGGTGATTGTTTCCAAACACCTTTTATTATGGTAAAAGGTTAAGTTAGGCTGTAATATTAGGCACTCCATTTTTAAATTTATTGTATCCCTTAAAAACAGATCATACAGGAATAGAAACTGAAATCAATGGCCATCAAGTCAAATTTAATTTTATAGAAAAGCCAAAACTTAAAGAAATTCATAATGTTAAACAATCTATTGAAAATAAACAACAATTTCTATGCCAATTAAAAGCAGAAATAAAATATAAAACTATAGAAGATAACTTGGCACTTCCAAAAATAGAAGAGAAAATTGACCAAATTAAGAAACAAATAGAACAAGAAGTGTGCAACGAATTACCTAATGCTTTTTGGAATAGAAGGAAACATATAATAACCCTTCCATATGAAGAAGGATTTATAGAAAATAAAATACCTACAAAAGCAAGGCCAATACAAATGAATTCAAGATTATTAGAAATATGTAAAAAAGAAATAGATGAACTCCTCAAAAAGAAATTAATCCGAGAAAGTTTGTCTTCTTGGAGCTGTGCAACATTTTATGTAGAAAAGAATATAGAAAAAGAAAGAGGAGTCCCATGATTAGTAATCAATTATAAACCTCTAAATAAAGTATTAAAGTTGATTCGCTATCCAATATCAAATAAAAAAGATCTACTTGATAGATTATTGAATGATTGTATCTTTTCAAAGTTGATTTAAAATCACGATACTGGCAGATACAAATAAATGAAAATGATAGATATACAACAGCTTTTAATGTCCCTTTTGGACAATACGAATGGAATGTCATACCTTTTGAACTAAAGCATGCCCCTTATGAATTTCAGAAAATAATAAATGATGTTTT